AAATCGCACAGTGTGAGCCCGGCATTAGGGTTTACAGAGAGTAAAATATCCCACAGGACTGGAGTTATATGAGATGAGGCCTGACTGCTTGATATGAAGGTAACAGGAACTCATTACAACCATGGTGTGTAGAAAAGCCTTCCTAAAGGCCAGGCTGCCCACCTGCCGGGCAGGGTGACAACAACATCCATAAAAAACACTGAAATTATCCAACCAGGTTGTTCCGCACAACCAATTCAGGGTCACAGTAAGCCAAGGTGAGAGGCGGGGCCACCAGTCTGTCGCAAGGACAGGCACAGAGACAGACAACCACTCAAATTCGCATTCGCATCTACGTCTAGCAATTAACCAACATGCATGTCCTCAGACTGTGGATGTCAGAGTACGCGGAGTGAACCAACGCAGGCATAAAGAGCTTGAGAAACAAACGTCTGAAACTGAAAGCACAGTGAAATTAGAAGTTGGATTGTTTGTTTTGATGCTGAGTGTCAGGCAACAATAAATAAGAATAAAAACCCTCAAGAAGACAAAAGTCTGTTCTCTGATTGTAAACGTGTACGACAAGGTCGACTGGGTCAACACAAGAAGGAGGCGCAAGTGTCCCTGTGAATGATGTACATTCAGATTCCTCTGACCGGCTCTTCTCCTGAGTTGTTGCAGGATACATTAGTAGGACCCCCCCCCCCACACACACACCCTTTTTTATCAAAAACAGGAAGGCTATTGTGCTCAATGAGGCATCGACCTCCGCAGGAGAGCTAATGGCTTGCATGAGTGTCTGGACTGTAAATCTACCGGCTCTCCATCAGCATGATAAACAGCGGTGTTATATAGAAACAAAGAAAAGGAGGGTTGCAAAGTCACAGTGGAATTTGAACTGCACTGCTGTGGTTCAAACGTCAGAAAAAATAGCATCAGCGTTTTTCAGCCAGAGCCTGCAGTCTTCAGTCACATTTGGTAAGTGTAGCTTTATGTAATAGGTATTATACTATATGCTCCAATACATTATGATGGATTAGAGACGGATTAGATGGCAAATCATGTGTTACAATGCACTGGAGAAAAAAAGGCAGGATAACACTGGCAGTTGCTTTTGAGCTGCGTCCATCTGGCTGCTAGCTGAGCTCTGGAAGAAGCAGGAAGTATATCACCCTCAGGGGCAGACGCCCAGTGTGTTGACTTCACTAATAAATGAGATTTATCTCAAACATCAGCAGAGGATGTCCTGTATTATGTAGCTACAAAGACTTCGATTTATGATCACATCATACAAACATCTGCTGTTTGTACCTGCATCCAACCCCAACCACCCAAAAAAAATCAAATAAAAACATAAAATCGAGACTCTCTTCTTCTGCCACAGGTGTTCTACAAACGGGCCGACATGGCCATCGGTTCACTGACCATAAATGAAGAGCGCTCAGAGATTATTGACTTCTCGGTGCCGTTTGTGGAGACGGGGATCAGCGTGATGGTGGCTCGGAGTAATGGGACGGTCTCTCCTTCTGCTTTTTTAGGTGAGGAATGTTTCCTAGAAGCATTTTAACTAACATCAAAGCATCACTGTGCAAAAGGCCGGAAAACGTATCTCATATCTCGACTTTTTTAGGCTGACATGCAATATGTGAGGCATCACAACCACTTTATCGTTATCTAAAATGCAAAAATAAAACATTAAAAGGTTTTGGTTTCTCAGTCAGGAGCTGCTGCAGTTTCACAGGAAACCTTTTGAAACTTTTCTGCCTATTTTCTTGATGTTTGCAATAATTACTTTTGTACTGGCTAAAATGATTTCGCTCGGCTGGGGATATTTCGAGTCTCTTTGAAGTGGGGTCGTGCGAGGTTTGGATCCACAGTCAGTGGACCTGTGGCAGATGGCAGCACCACCAACCGACACGCTGTAGTAATGTTATTAGTCACAGCTTCACTGAAGAAAAGCGTAAAGTAACAGAACTTCAAATGATATCAATAAAGTATACCGTCTTTTGCAAATATTGACAGTTTATCAGTTTATTGTGGTGTGACCTCATGGTCTACAGACGTAAAGTACCTGAACATCTATAAAACACTCATATTTGCATATATCTGCAAACATGTACTTGATTGGCTGTGCTCTCTGTCCCTGCAGAACCCTACAGTCCTGCCGTGTGGGTGATGATGTTCGTCATGTGTCTCACAGTTGTGGCCATCACAGTCTTTGTCTTTGAATACTGTAGTCCAGTTGGGTACAACCGCAGCCTGGTCAGTGCCAAAGGTGAGTCTCCTAACCCGGTCCAGTCCATCAGCGCCTCAGCCCTCGAACAATTAACCAAACAGAAACTTCATGCAAGCATTAGGAGGACGCAGATACCTGCTAATTGGGGCTAAAGAACTATTAAAACAGTGCAATTTTACTCAAAACCAGGCTGCAGATTATTATAAATATGGGCCTTACATGACATTAACCCCTAGTGACACACACTAGATGACCCCACGTAGGACCTCCTCATTTGTTATTCGGCCCCGGTAGGAAAATCTTCAGAGATTATTGACTTCTCGGTGCCGTATATACAAAAGTTAATAAGTATAACTTTTGTATATACCTATCTAATCAAATACCAGTTGCAACCAGTGTGTTCTCAAATTGCAAAGAGTCACATCACTGATGGCGCAAACTGACTGAGATAATCCACAAATCTTCACCAGTCCATCTCAGAGTGACTGCAGTCGATCTAGATTGTACAGTAACTGTTTGGAGACTGGTTGCCTCCCACCAGCCAACCTGTGCAATCACCAATCCAACTACTAGGCAACTACCAATTCTCAAGGATGTTGCCTTCCTATTTCTAGTTTACTGTGATTGAGCCATTAGGGGAAAAACTCAATTATCATCAGAAGTGAAAGACTGAACAATAAGTATTTCAGGCCTTCATCAAACCACACTTAAATATTCAGCCAGCATAAAATTGATAAATGTCAAATGTTAGCCAAACAAGGGTCATTTCTGCAGACACCATTTTTCGGCTACTACGTTTGTTCATCCCTAAAGTTTTCTCTAGCTCTAATATGTTACCAAAAAACACGTCAAGATATTAATTAAGAAATAAACGTGTCAGATTTCACAGATACTTGGGTCATCATCTTGGCCGGTACTAAATCGTTCCCTCTTTACTTCATCCTTTCTAGATCCCGGAGGTCCCACCTTTACCATCGGGAAGTCTGTGTGGCTGCTGTGGGGAATTGTCTTCAATAACTCTGTCCCTGTTGAGAATCCAAAGGGCACCACTAGCAAGATCATGGTCCTGGTCTGGGCTTTCTTTGCTGTCATCTTCCTGGCTTCCTACACAGCCAACCTGGCAGCCTTTATGATCCAGGAGCAGTACATCGACACAGTGTCCGGACTGAGTGACAAAAAGGTAAAGACCTCTGTCATTGACCGTCCTGAGCGTGTTGCTGTGTTTAATGTACAGCTTAGGAAAGTGCTCTATTTTAGGAGTGCAAACAACATGTGGCAGAGCTATGAAGTGTAAACATCCAGAAATGCCAATGTCATAGCTGTGACTTTCCACTTTCCCTGCAAAACACAAAAGGGTTCACACAGTAAGTGGGGAAATTGAATTACATAGCCAGACTCTTTGGACGGTGATGTCAACGGAAAGCCTGTGAAACATAATACACAAGTGGATTTTCTGGGTAGACGGCGATTATATTTTTCTGGTATTATCTTATGCATATTTGTCTGGCCTGGGGATGTGTTTCATAGGAATATTGACGAGGAAATCCATGTTAAACCATCAGCACAAAAAATGATTTGCAGACTTTTTGCTTGCAGGCAACTGAAGGGATTAAAGAGGCATTTGAGGAAAAGACCAAGCAGCCCGCCGCTCATTACGATTCTAGCAAAGTCATTTACAATTCCAGTTTCATCATACATTAACTCTGCCACGCAGCGAAGGAAACAGAATCAGTCTGACAGTGAGCCCATAGATTATTAAAAGGAATTCTGCATGGCAGCATGGTGGGAAGTGAGCGCTCAACTGCTGTTGGTCCAGCTGTGCCGAACCCCTTAGGTTAAGTAAATGTAAATGAGGTACAAGAAGACACCACAGAACGTGACCTTGTATCAGAGGACAGTGATAGAGACAAGCTCAGCTACTTTCAAGACACTGCAGTGTTAAGAGAGACGATTAGCTCGTTTGTCCAGAAAAGGCACTTCACTTACACAACAACTTTTTGCAAGTCGGTAACACGTCGCTACCCCCAACTTCTTTTGGCACTGCATCTCTAACCTTTAAAGTTGGGGTGTAATAATTCTCCAAAACCACAGTTCATGCGATGCTTTTTCTTCAGAGTTGATGGTGAAAAATATTCGTTATCCTGATGGCTTTCTGCAAAATCTTCATCCAGGTGGATTCAGGGAGGTCCAGCCTGATACTCCTGATAAACATCAGGAATACTGTGTCGTATATTTGTTCATTTTTGACTTTTGGACAGTGTGCCAGATGTTCAGAAGTTCATGTCTGATGGCTTGAATTGTAAAGATCAACAGGTATCAGATCAGCACCTACTGACCAATCAGTTCTTGAGACAATAGCGTCACCCTGGAAGATCCCTGGGACCTCTGTGTGGATGCCAGGAGGGTCTAAAGATTCTTATTTGCAGCTTTAGTCCTTTATATTTCTTCTGTTGGCTGCAAACAATTTCACAACAATTTTATTGTTTATGCTCCTTGATATAAAACCCTAAAGCAGGACATCCATTTGTACCTGCGGACTTTATCAAATTACATTGTCTAAGCCAGGCATGTCCAACACATGGACTACATACGGCCCACTCCCCTGAAGCTCCCGTCTGTCAGTGTAAAGGAGTTCAACTACACTTGCAATTTCAACAGAACGTTTCAGTTTTTCTCCAAGGTAAATAAATGTTGCTTCAGTAAATGACAGAAATCTATCAGCGCGACTCTTTGGGCTTAAACTGTAAGAAATAAATGTGTAAAATTACAGAAAAACATCGGTTAGCTCACAGCCTAGCACTGTTTTTTACTGTAGATCCAAACGTTTTTATAGCAGACGGGAACTTTTCTGTCATTTAAATGTTTTTCTGTTACTTAATTACTTCAGTGTACCAAGAATGACCATGTGGGAAGTCTTTATTAGTGAAAAAACCTCTAGTGGGCCAAAATGCTTTTCCGTTGCTGGGCAGATTCTGGCCCCTGGGCCGTATGTTTGACACCCTTGGTTGGATTTTGTTGACCATTCTTGCAGATGAACAAATGAAAACTAAAAATCGTCCGCACATCTAAAATTTAATTAAATAAAATAATTAATTGGTGGCTTAATGACAGAGCGTTAATACTAGCATTAATAGTTTTCATCTTGGCTTCAGATAGGCGATACTACACTACTGCACACTGACTTTCAGTCACTCATACAGGCGGTTTTTCTGTAGCACTGTGTTGGTTTCAGTCTTTATAGTGAGTGTAACCTCTTATTTTTAAGATAATACAGTTTCATGTTCCTTTGGGGAGTCTTATTTGTGGTCAGATGATGCCAATGACATCAGTCATGAGGACATGATTGAAAGGCCTGGGTTGATTTATTGAGCTGCTTACCCTGATTGCCAGTGTTGGAGTAAGTGAGGTGAAATGATATCCTGGGTATGTTGTACTTGCTTCGTACTACAGGGCCCCGACTGACCATTAATAACGCTGATCCTGTGCTGATGTCAGCAGCCTTTGCTGCAGCTGATGTGATTTCCTCCAGAAGTGTTAGCTGTGTGTCACTGCCATGCAGACTGCAGCAAATGTCATTTCTCTGTTTTCTCATATTATCTGTCACATTATCAGATTTTCACTGTAATATAATTAGATAGTCATAGTAGAATTTGAAAAAAACAAATCACAATGATTATATTATTATGAATCCTAGAGAAAATTAAAAAACAGATAACGGGACTGTTCAAATTCATTAATAACTTTGTTTTTTGAGCAATGAGGTGACAAAACGCATAACTGTACAAACAATTATCATTTATTTACATATCAATCTCTGTGCATTTTATCACAATATTGATATTTCATGTCTAAATATGAAGACGGGATACGTTACGGGCGGAGACTGCACTGGTGTTCCTCGTAATGCCAACACTGTAACCTGTACTCTGCTACTCCGGTTTCTTTATTTTAACAGCTGACGATTTGTGTTTAATCTCAGTCTGTTCACGAGCACTCTGTCTTTCTGAGATGCACAAATTTTATACAAAGTAACCGGATGTGCAGCTTGTAATCAGACACAATCAGCTCCAACAGAACAGCCTACAAGAGCTAAATCTAGAAGCTAAACGCCACAATACAGACGCCACCAACCAGCATGGTGGAGCTTAGTTGTATTGTTTAGTTTTATTCAATTTAGAAAGACTTCCTTCAATGAAAAATAAAAAAACAAAAAAACTTCAGCATGCTGTGAATTATTTTGTCTGAAAACAGACAATATTGGATCCAAAGATCAGGTTTTTGTTTGTTTTTTAAATTGTAATCATCACATTTCAGTTTTTCCTTGAGCCTTCTTGTTCTTATTCCTCTTTCACACGAGGAGAAGTGCTTCCTCATAAAACATCAGAGTGATTGGATAATCTATGTCTATATGCCATCGTCTCTCCTGAGACGCTTATTCGATCAACATTATTTTTGTCATTAAAAAATTGTTATTCTACTTCCAGTTTCAAAAGCCGCAGGAGCAGTATCCTCCATTCCGCTTTGGTACCGTCCCAAATGGCAGCACAGAGCGCAACATAAGGAGCAACTATCCCGAGATGCATGCCCACATGGTCAAATACAACCAGAAGGGAGTGGAGGATGCCCTTAACAGCCTCAAAACAGGGTAAGTGTCTGCCAGGAATCGTAAAAAAGTCTCCTCGCAGCAGACGTGCGACTGAAAGAAGAGCCAGACAATTACACGATGGCCATTTGAGTAAAAATCCTTTTCTTTACCCTGCTAGGAAACTGGATGCTTTTATCTATGACGCTGCTGTGTTGAATTACATGGCTGGCAAAGATGAAGGCTGTAAGCTGGTGACAATTGGCAGTGGCAAAGTGTTTGCTACCACTGGTTATGGCATTGCACTCCAGAAGGATTCACGCTGGAAACGACCCATCGACCTGGCCCTGCTCCAGTTCCTGGCTGATGGTAAATTCTTCATTTAATAGATTGCTTTAATATTTGTATTTGCAGTATTCCCATAAAGCTGAATAAGAAAAATTTCTAATGATTGAAAGCAAAACCTATACTGTTGTAATAAAAGAGCCACAATATTATTACAGTAAAATGTATCTGAATGAGAGAATGAAAGATCATAAAAGCAATAAAGAAACTTTCATGATTCATGAGGTCCTTAGGCAAATTATTGCAAAGCCTCGGGCAAAATCCCCATAACCTTTGGCAGAATATGCAGTAGGTAAACATTTGGATAATAAAGCAGACTGTCAGACTTATCACTGCTCAGATCAGTGCACGATTTAGGCAGGAAGATTTTTATTCTAGAGGGAAGAAGAGGAAGACAACAGCTGTCATAAACATAAAGATCTCAGTTTTTGTGGAGGCAGTTTAGGAAGCAAACAAGTAACTGAGCCAACACTGTTGATGTTGCCAAAAAATGTTTTCAGATGATCCGGATGGTGGTTTATGTTTCTTTTGATTTGTAGCTTTATTTTTACTGATATCGCTGCTAACATGTTTGCTAGAGCCAGCGATATGAAAGCTTTCTTTGCAATAACAGCCATAAGGCTGGGTGATGGTCTCCATCACTGGATCATCGTATCGTCCCCCTGATAAATCACAAATAACCAATGGCGTCGGTGCAGGACATACAGGGGCTGGGGGTTAAAGTTCACTTGTTAAGGTAGCACTTTCCACCCTCTGTAATGCATACTGTACTGATCAAACAAAACAAACAGAGCACTACAGAGAAATACACACACCAGAGAGCACTTCCCTTATCCAACATTACGAGAGATGCTGCAGCTGCAGCAGTTGGAGGGAGTCATTTATACAGCATGAAAAAGCATGATTTAGACGCTTTAATTAGTGGGAACAAGTTGAAAGTTATCATTTGATCAGTTGCCTGGATCTTTTTTGTAATTAATTAATTATTTAATTATTTAAGGTCGTTCTGAGTCCTCCAGTGTTTTTTCATATGTGGGAAAAATCTCCTCTAGTGTCCGCCATGACCTCTGCATACATACGTCTTTCAACAACAAAGTAGTAGAGGCTGTTAAGCTCTAATTTAAAAATGAAACCATCCTTGCGTTTTCTCTCATTTTGAGATGCACCAGTGCAGCCATTCCACACATGCACATTTATTCCAAAGGAAGCAGAAGTGCGTGCAAGGACTTGTGTGTGCATGCATGCGTGCACCAAGACAAGTTGCAGTCGGTAACATGTGGAGATATCGCATAACATAGCAAGACAGATGATAGGCTTGTAATGCCTTACTTGCACTGAGTCTGCCCCCTCAGATTGTTGTGTGCATCTGCACAAACCTAAAAGACTATAATAAAGGTGACCCTGAAACTGA